TATACCATTTCCAGTTCTGATTAGTATAGTGACCTTAGTGTAGACTTGTGTCCTTATACATCAGTGTCCTGATGCTCTGTAAATATTACTGTACTGCTTCCTTTTTGGGAGGTTAGCTGCTGCTTCTTGAACCAGCAGCAACATAATCCTTATGGCACTTCACCTAGGGAAATCAGTTCTTTTAAGGGTTAGCTTAGGTGGAGTAGTGTATGAATACAGCTGTGCTGCTCCTGGTTAAGGAAGTAACCCACTTGTACCTCCCAAACCTAACAGTATAGCAACCTTCATTTGTTGCCCAACACGACCATGCTGCATCTTCTCAGCAAGTGCAGCAGGATACTGGTGTCTGTTTGAGACAAAAGTTTAATTTCAGAGGGCGCATCCAGATGAGTGCACACGTGCCTCTTGCAGTGTCTCAGCCCCCTTTGAGATGCTGCAAGAGGCATACTCAAGAACAAAAAAATGTTCCCTGTGCTGCTAATTTGCAGCATGGGGACAAAATTAGACCCCTGGATATCCAAGGATCAAAAAATACCCCAGGGGAAAAAAGCAGGGCCGTACCTCGAGGCTGGTAGCCAGTCAGAGCATCTCTATGCCTGGCCCTTGCTGCAGTGCTGAAGCACACTGCCTACACTGTGCGGGGCAGGCAGTGGTGCAAGCTGCAGGGACCTGGACCTGGCTTCATGCCAGGTAAATAGGGGGTTGGGGAGGCTGAAGTGGGGGGAGGAGACCATGAGGGAGGGCCGGCCCAGCTCCAGTCCCCGTTTGTTCCCCCAACTCCACATTTGTTCCCCCACCCCCTGCTCGCTCTCCTGCCCATCCCCAGTCCCCCCATACTCACTGCAGTAGCAGCAGCAGTCTGGGCCACTCAGGACTTCATGGCGGCCCCAGCTGCTTGGCATCTGTCCTGCCACATTGCATGGGTGCACCCAGCTTAGCAGGGTGCCGTGCACTCTCAGAGCTCCAGGCCCTTGGGGCTGAGCAGTGCTGAGCCCTGGGTGATGGCCACAGCACCTCTGAGATTCCAGACAGCACATGGTGCCCTGCCAATCTGGGCCGCACCCGCATGATGGCAGCAGCTGCAGCGGGTGCCAGGGGGCCAGGGCCAAGCCCTGCTGCCCCCTGCCACATGGGGGGGTGGGGGGCGGGGCACTGTGCCATAAGGCCCTGAGTGGCCCCAACCACCGCTGCTGCTGGTAAGCTGCGGGCAGTGTGGGAGGCTGGAGCTGGCTGGGGGAGCGACTGGTGAAGGGGCAGGAGCCAAGAGGGGGAGCGATCAGAAGCCTGGAGCCAACTGGGGGAATTTCTGAATAATCTCTGGCCTCCTGATCACTCCCCCGCTGGTCTCCAGTCTCCTGCTCATCTCCAGCCTCCAGAGGACTGGAACAGAGCAGGAGAACAAGTAGCGGGCTGGAGACGAATGAACCCCTGGAGAAAGGTGGAGATGTTCCCCTGCTCGTCTCCAGCCTCCTGCTCCTCCCGAGGCTGGAGAAGAGCAGGGGAACCAGCAGGAGGCTGGAGACTGGTGGGGAGGGAGGAGAGGGAGCTGGGACCCTACAGGCAGGGCAGTCCATGTGCTGGGGGGCGGGGCAGGGGACCCACCCCCTTATAAGCAGCCCCTACACCGACAATCCCCCACACCTTCCCACGCACTGACCTACATCCCTCCACACCCACCCACAATAATATTAATTAAAACGGAACTCATAATAAACCATATTAAATCACAAAATCTTCCTGTCCCTGCTGTACTTTCTAACTTCCTTTGAAATACTTTGGCCATTTTTTGCGTTTTTCTTTCCTGCCTTTAAGAGGTGTATTTTCTCTCATTTAAAAACTCTTACTAAAAAATAATCTTTTCCTTCAAGATGCATTTAATAGTATTAAACGTTAGAACTATACAGCTGTGGAAAGAATGGCCTTTCATAATTATAAGCCTAAGTGATCATGATAAAAAAAATAGTCAATTCAAATGAATTTTATGAACCATAAAATTATTTATATTAGTACATTCCCATTACCATTATTATTCTTTCAACATTACTGGTGTTAATAATTAACTGTAGTGTATACAAACAGCACATTTTCAATATGGAAGTACTGTAAAACTACAGATCAATAAAACTGGGGTTAATACTGAGGGGAATGAAAAGAAGCACTAACCCGGCTGCCTCTCTCCCTGAACACTGTTACACTGAATAAGCAGAGATCCTGCACAACACAGTTTATGATATAGTAAGGTTTTATTGGGCATCTAGTCAAGGGGAGAAGAATAAAAGTGTAGACACCCCTAATTCTTTCAGCACCTGGCCTTTGTGTGCTTTATGTTGCAAGTTCAATATATCTTTGTTGTAAATGTAGATTTGCAATATGCATAAATTCTACCTGCTTTGATAATATAGCAAACTCATTAGTAGCATCTAAAATTTCCTTTTCAAACATAAATTGTCATAGATTCATAGATTGTAGAGTCAGAAGGGACCACAATGGATCATCGTGTCCGACCCCCTGGCCCTGGCAGGAAAGAGGACCGAGGTCAGATGACCCCAGCCAGGTGACTATCTAGGTTCCTCTTGAAGACCTCCAAGCTAGGTGATAGCACCACCTCTCTTGGAAGCCCATTCCACATCCTGGCCACCCTTACTGTGAAAAATGTCTTCCTAATATCTAACCTAAATCCACTCTCAACTAGTTTACACCCATTATTCCTAGTCACTCCCTGGGGCGCCTTTGTTAACAGTGCTTCCCCTATTCCCTGTTGACCTCCCCTAATAAATTTATAGGTGGCCACAAGATCTCCCCTCAGCCGTCTCTTGTGAAGACTGAAGAGATTCAGCTCTCTCAACCTCCCCCACGTAGGGTCTATCACGAAGGCCACTTATCATGCGAGTGGCCCTCCTCTGGACCCTCTCAAGATTCTCCGCTTCCCTCTTGAAGTGCAGTGCCCAAAACTGGACACGGTACTCCAACTGCAGCCTGACCAGTGCTGCATAGAGGGGGAGTATCACCTCCTTTGTTTTATTAGTCATGCGTCTGCTAATGCACAAGGTGCGATTGGTCTTGTTAATGGCCTCGTTACACTGCCGGCTCATGTTCATCTTGAAGTCAATTATGACTCCAAGATCCCTCTGTCTCTGAGCTGCTGAGAAGGACACTCCCTAACCTATAGGTGTGCTGGGGGTTCCTCCTTCCCAGGTGGAGTACCTTACATTTATCTTTATTAAATTGCATCCTATTTCTCTCTGCCTACTGATCCAACCTGTCCAGGTCAGCCTGAATCTGCTCCCTGCCCTCCGGTGTACTAATTTTGCCCCATAACTTGGTATCATCAGCAAACTTGGAGAGAGTGCTCTCCACGCCATTGTCCAAATCGCTGATGAAGATATTGAATAATATCGGTCCAAGGGCCGAGCCCTGTGGGACCCCACTGCCCGCCTCCCTCCAGGCCGAAAAGGAACCATCACCACCACTCTCTGGGTGTGGTCCCGAAGCCAGTTGGCCACCCACCTGACCGTGTAGGCATCCA